GAGGACTGTAGTTGCAAGTAGCAGATAATCCTTAGGTCGCTGGTTCGAATCCGGCAGGTCGGATTTTTTTTTTTTTAATATTTTTGGGAATTTTGGATTTTACCACGACATCCTATCCCGATCCGTCCCTCTCTCTAGCCTCGCTATACAAATTTTCCTTCAACATTTTTGTCCGGGCAAAGGAAGTTCAACTCAAATTTGGAATAATATAAGGGAATTAAATTTACAAACTAAATGATGTATTACTAATAAAAAATAAGCGCGTTCAAGATGTTGTTGAATCAAATTTTCTCCTTGCAAGCAAAGGTCACAACACAAATCTATTCAATTCTATTCGGGTCTCGGGTGTCCCTCTTCCTAGGGGACAGTTCAAAAATTAGTGCTTGCATTCTCGATGCAAGTATTAAAAAAAAAAAGTCACTTAGGTCCAATATTATTCCACCGTTTAGCGTCCTTACAATAAACAATAAGATATTGTTATTCGTTTAGTTATTAGTATATCGTTTGATTACAACAACAAGGTGTATACAAAAACACCAAAATCCTCAAAATGTGCAACTATATTTTGCACATCATGAAACAATCCACTATTTTTACTTAAAGTGAAATAAGGTACTGTTTGGTACGTGGGACGGGACGGAACAGAGTAGAACAAGGCGTTCTGTGCCACGTTTGGTGCGCCTAAAACGGGTGGAACGAGCTGTTCCACGGGACGAGTTTTGGGTGAATTTTCGTTCCACCTCACCCCCCTGGAACGACTCGTTCCACATCCGTGGAACACAAAATTATAACATCTTCGTCTCCTTCTTCTTCCTCCTTGTTTCCATCCAAGGGCATCTTTGCTCCCGCTCCATTCCGTTCCGTCCTATCCCGTCTCATTCCATTCCGTCCCGTCCCGTTTGCATACCAAACGATACCTAGGAATAGGAAGATATGGCACTGTAAATACTTAATTTTAACCGAAGAAAACTTTGTCATCCACAAGCGTGGTAACCGAAGGTGTTACAATGTTGGGGTACGTGGCGGATCGAGAAAGGTTGTCAAGGACTCAGGAACATAGTTTAATTTGCTACAACATTTGTTATGGTTATTTTTTATTTAAAGAAAATAAATCATAAAATAAAATTTTATATAAACTGCCAAATCATATGAACTCATGAAATTCATTGGCTTAAATTCTTTTACATTTTTTTTTCTTTAGTGATTGGAGGTTTGTCTTTTTGCTACGATCGGATTTCGGGTGAATAAAATAGAATACCTTTCTTGCCCTTGAATATAGCAATGCTTTGTTCTAAAATTATTATGAAATTTGCAACATTTCGACTTTTTTTCTTTTCTTTTTCTAAACTTTGTAAATAATAAAATTCACATATGTGTGTGTAAATATATATTAGTTTGACATGAAATTTCACAAAATAAAAATACGTAGTATATATGTAACAATCCGTCCTTAATTTTACAACTTTATTAATTTTAGAAGTGTGAATTGACCAAAATTGAAGTGAGATTGTTGACTTTTTACGGAATTTGCTCAAAATCCTTCTTACTGTATTTCAACGCCCTGATTCCAAATTTGTAGTCCTTTTCCCAAATTTAATCATTTTAATTAAGTTCTACTAATGGGTCCCAATATTATGCTTAGGTGCGATTACCATCGGAGACTCCAACTTTCTTAGTTTGAACGACTGCGACCTCACAAGAATATATGAGTGGCTCTTTTCTTTTATATAGTATTTATAGTTGTTTAGTTTCCACATATATATATTTAATAATAAATTTTCTACGTGATTGCCATAATTAAATTAGCGTTTATAAGAAAGGTCGAAATGTTGAGAATTATGAAATTGTTCTAAATCATGCGGGATGCACATGTGTGTGTACTATTATGGGATGTGTTAATTATATTTGCGGCCATCAATAATGTTATGTTGACTAGAATTATCGATTTACTGATACATGATCATAATTATGTTATTCGCTCATCATGTGCTACATTGGTGTTAGTACTCGCCTGGGTCAAGGCCAGCCTTCATGTGTATGTTCACATCGCACCGTACACTCACTTTGGATTTATTGTAGGTGACAGTCCTGTCCTAGATTGCAATAGGTAATTAGGACTCATATGTAATGCACATAGCGCTAGTTTTCACGTGATTGTAGTACTAGAGTGTTTCATGTCAGAATACCTCTGCATGAACTCGTGTGTCAGTATATGTTGATGAGCATTCAATATGATATGTTTGTTTATATAATATATTGTGACTACCAGACGTTATGTGTTTATTTACGAATTATTGTAAAGTATTGCATTCTTGGGATATTGATGGCTACGGTAAGTAATTTCATACTATACGTAATATGTTATATTTAGAAACTACACTTATTTTATGGCGTTGGGTTATTACGTTTTTGAAAAGGATTTATAAAGCTTTATTTTTAAGCTCACTGACCCTTGTTTTTTGCCCCTCCAGGTTTTAGTGGATGAGTTTTCGTGTCAACAATGATTCTTGGCAAATGTTGTTATATGAGAGTACCTTCGATGGTATAATTCTTATCCTATTTTTACTGTACTTATGCTCTGACATCATGTGTGAATTGAGTTTAATCCTGCTCACTTGCGTACTCTTGCATTTAGACACTTTTAAGTTTAAATTTACTCACATTTTCCATATAACTACACTTTATGGCTTCGTCACGCTCATGATGTCGGCTAACACTGCTTGATTCAGATTCTAAATGAACATTCTGGGTTAGGGTGTGTCAATATACAAATTTGAGATTTTTTTTTCTCGGTTAATACGAAACTAGTTTTCTTGTTCTTTACTCAAATTATGTAAATGCTCATGTTTTTTTTGAGACACTTTGATAGGGGAATTTTGCTATAATAATATTAGGACACTATCTCGTCGTTTGAATTTTATTTTGTCTTGTATAGGCTTTCTCCTTGTAGTTGTTGTAATACTTTATTTTCGTAAAAATTAAATTGAATTTTGCATTTATTTGGATAAAAATAACATTGAACCACTTTATTTTCTTAAAAGTAATTTGTATTTATTTGGGTTAAAATTACATTGAACTACTTTATTTTTATAAAAAGAATTGAATTCGCATTTATTTGGGTAAAAAATACATTTGCTTTCTGTGGTCATAGTTTGCTTTACTTTTCACTTTGATCCTTGTCTATTTAATTTTGGTAGTTTAGTCTTGTAATTTTGTTTAATTAGAAATCAAGTCCTACAAGCTTAACATTTAAAGAAAGATAGACGGAGTTATGTTTTGGGTTGATTGAAAACAATTTACAGAGACAAAAAAGCCCTCACACGTGACTTTGACGGAGTTTACAATGTGAACTCAACTGAAATCAGACTGTAATGCTGAAATTGTCAAAACTATCCTTCATAGTTGTCATACTACAATAAAGAACAAACTGTACATCTCATAATTATTATTGTGACCAATGAGAATTTATTAAGTTATATAAAAAACTCTTAAACAATGAAAACGCTCAACGCTCATGTTTTCTATACACTGGTGCATGCCTCGGAACTATAAATTTGTCATTTTCCATAGTTGATGAATTTGTACGTATTATCTTTTAATGAATTTTGAAAATGCACATAAAATTTTTATTCATATTTTTTTGGGAAAACAATAAGATAAATAAAACTAAGAACATTGTGGGACCGTGATTTTAGAGGGCTGAAGTAAGGCTGATTCAAATATGAATACCTCAGAAGTCTGGTCATGGATTCGAGTGGAGTTGGATCAGACAATGACCCTGTTTTGGGGCAATAGGCGAAGTCCGAGTGACTCTGTTAAGATGACCATACTGGTCTTGCAAAATACGCGATCTGATCCAGATATGGATTCAATCAGATCTTTATAAAGTCTTGAAGTTCTTACAATCTAGGAATTGCCATGCATCGCAAGTAATCACAACTACTAAAATGATGCAATTTCTACTTCTAGATATCCTCTAGGATTCTCTCAGCGTAGAACAATAATTATATTTTAAAAAGGTCTCTCTCCCCACTGTATAAATACACTCATATAGGGTTCGTCTCTGGTAATGCAATTTCGATTCTCTAATTCTTTTGCCCATTGCTTGAGTCTAAAACAATTCACTAACTTGACTGTTAAATAGCCTATGCCCGACAGAACCCCAGTTATTGGGCTTGCTCATAATTGTTTATTATTTAGCAAATAGTTGAGTTTGTGCATCTTTTTCATGTACCGAAATGTGTATACCGAAATATATTATATTGAACTAATGCATTTAAATGTTAGAACCGAAATGTATGTATTGAAATATATGCACTGAAATGTATTATATTAAATTAATGTACCTAAATATGTGTACCGAAATGTATGCACCAAAATGTTAGTACCGAAATGTATTATATTGAATTAATGTACCTAAATGTTTGTATCGAAATGTATGTACCGAAATATGTGTACTTAAATGTATACACGAGAATCTATTATAATGAATTTAACGTATCTAAATAAAGAAAACAAAGTACATCGAAATATATTGTATAACAAAAATTAGTTTATCTAAATGTTTACAACAAAATATATTACGATAAATGAAATGAAAATTATAATTAAATAAAATTAATATATTAAAAATTAGGAAGAAAAAGAGAAATAATTTAAAAAATCAAAATATAATTAATAAATAAAGTTATTAATGTATCAAGAGACTAAAATTAAATTTTGATTTACTTATAGTTTTAATCTAAAAGTCATATTTACTAAGAATTAAAATGAAGTTTCTATTATTTTATCAGCATGTTAGAAATAAAATCATGCGCCAATTGTGGCACTTCCGTAATAAATTCAGAGAGTAATAAATTCATGCGCCAATTGTGGCACTTCCGTAATAACAACCCAAACAGGGGTCAATTGCGAGTTCTACCCCTCTACGGAAATACCTAACGGCAGTCAACCGGACGAAACCCCGCACAGTTAGAAAAGACCCATATAAAGCAGAGAAGTGCTTCCACCACCAAAAGCTCTGAGCACAAAATAAGAGAGAGGAGTGAAATGGTAAAGAATTAAATCCAAAAAACAAAGAAAAATGAGTTTTAAATAAAATTTTCGAAAAAAAAGAAAATAAAATCGCTAGGGTTTGACGCCAAAAATTGGAAGAGGAGTGAGGTGAGTCGCCGATTCCACCCGTCAACTTCGATTCTCTAGGATCCGTCGGTCTGTAGCCCCCACTGAGAAATTTTCGCGTTAATTTTTTGGGTTTTTGTAGGGAGAGAGTTTTCGAGAGAGAGCGCTTTGAGCTCGGGGGGTGTTTTTGAACGTTGGGATCCGAGGGTCCTGATAGGGTTTCAGTTGGAATTTTATTTTGGTGGGATTTGATTTTTTTTTTGAGCCTTTTTGGGTTTTTCATTTTTTTCCAATTTCTTATTTTTGGTGATTTGGGTTTTTGTTGGATGCGTGTGAATTTGGGTTGAGGTGCATGCAGTCTGGTGGCGGAGGGGGAGGCGGGCCCGGCCGGGGAGTGGGCCCTGCTGGCCGTGCCGGATCGACGTCATCGGCTGCTTCGCCATCTTCATCGTCCTCGGCCGTGTCCACGCCGCAACTGGGTTTTGATTCGGTGCAGCATCAACAACATCAGCAGCAGCAACAACAGCAGCAGCAGCAATTGGGGTCTAGACAGGTAATGATTGATATGTGTGGCTGGAAATTTTGTTTTTTGTTTTGGTGAGAATTTAGTTGAATTGGAATGTGGGTTTTGGAGTTTGGAGTGTTTCTGCAGATGGGTCATTATTAATTTTGTCATTTTTGGCCTGGTTAATGATTGTTGCATTATTTGGGTTTCTAATTGGGAGTGTTGTTCCAAATGGGAGGCAGTGAAATGTTGTTTTTGATGCATCTGTGTGTTGTGGGTATGGTAAGTTAGCTGGTTTGCTTACATGATTTCTTAAATTAGAGCTGTTTAGGGTTTCGAGGAGTCAAACTAGGCAGGTTGTAATGGGAACTGATTGCGACATTGCACTTTTAGCTGCTTAACTGTAACTTGAAATGGACTTTTGCTTCCATTAAATTCAGAAGAGTTTAACGACGACGAGGTGGCGTCTGCTTCTGGTTTTGTTTTACTGTCATCCATTCCTTATATATGGTGTTCAATTATGGATGACCCTGTCCAGCTCGTATTTGTTTCATCTGCTTTACTGCTCTTAAAGTTTATGATAAGTTTGATTTTTATGTTTAAAAGAGGAACCATGTGGTTTAATTTGCTTAGTCCACCTTTTTAGCTAAGCTAAGATAAGCCTTTTTTCCTATAACTTTCTTTTAGGATGAGCCTTGGGTTCTTTTGGTCATGTTATGTTGTTATGGTGGACATTTTCTTTTATTTTAACTTTTTGGTTATTAGTTTTACATGACTAGCTCTATGGCGGGTACAGCTAGCACTAAGTACAAATGGCATGGCTTTCAGAACTTTGAATCTGATATGTACAATCATTGTTCTGGTGCATTGGTAGGATCACATTTGTAATGGAAATCTTTTCAGGTTCCGGGAATTTGTTCAAGTCTTTGTTTTAACTTAAAAGATATCAATCATCTGCTAGACTTGCATAGTTCTTTATCATTGAATTGAAGTTATGTGAACGGTATTGGGGGATATTTGTTATTTGGATTTTTGGCCCTGTCACTACTGTAAGCAGGTTCTTGTATGAACTGATAATGTGACTAAGGTTTTCATAATTTATTGTTCATGCAGCCATTACACCAACAACAATTTTTAAGAAAACCTGAAGGGAATGAAGCTCTTTTAGCATATCAAGCTGCTGGTCTGCAAGGAGTTTTGGGAGGGGGCGGCTCCAGTCAAATGCCTCAACAATCTAGGAAGTTCATTGATTTGGCTCAACAACATGGCTCCCAGGATGGACAGAGTCGTAGTCAAGGTGTTGACCAGCAAGCGGTAAATCCAGTTCATCAAGCATATCTTCAGTATGCTTTTCAGGCTGCCCAGCAGAAGTCAGGTTTGACAATGCAACCTCAGCAGCAAGCTAAAATGGGATTGTTGGGGCCGCCATCTGGAAAGGATCAGGACATGCGATTGGGAAATATGAAAATGCAGGAAGTCATGTCTAATCAGGCACCTAGTCAGGCACTAGCATCGTCTTCTAAGAATTTGACGGAACACTTTATTCGTGGAGAAAAGCAGGTTGGCCAAGGACAGCCATCAGTCTCTGACCAAAGGAGTGACTCGAAGCCTTCAGCCCAACCATCAGGCATGGGTCAATTCATGCCCGGAAACATGTTAAGGCCAATGTTGGCACCACAGTCTCAGCCAAGTGGCCAAACCATGCCAAATAACCAGATTGCGTTGGTTAATCAGTTGCAAGCATTTGCACTTGAGCACAACATTGATCTTTCACAGCCTGGAAATGCAAACTTAATGTCACAGCTCATTCCACTGTTGCAGTCGAGGATTTCTGCTCAACAAAAAGCTAATGAAAGCAACATTGGGGCACAATCCTCACCTGTTCCAGTGTCAAAGCAACAGGTTACTTCTCCTCCAGTAGCAATTGAGAGTTCTCCTCGTGCTAATACATCAAGTGATGTATCTGGACAGTCTAGCTCTGCAAAAGCAAAGCAGACAGTTGCGGCTAACCCGTTTGGTTCAGGTTCAAATAGTAGCATATTTAACAATAGTAACGGCCCTATGCAGCAGTTTTCTGTTCATGGCAGAGAAAACCAGATGCCACCTAGGCAGTCAAATCCTATTGGAAATGGAATGACTTCTACCTATCCCACAGTGTCATCCGCAAACACAAGCCAGGGGGTGGATCACTCTTTTCATGTAAAAAATTCACAAAACAATCCAGAAACTTTGCAGATGCAATACCATCGACAGTTGAGTGGATCTTCTCCACAAGCTGTAGTTCCTAATGATGGGGTTTCTGGCAACAAGAGCCAGTCACAAGGTGGACTGGCTACTCAGATGGGACAGCAACGCCATGGGTTCACTAAACAGCAGCTGCATGTTCTTAAAGCACAAATACTAGCATTTAGGCGACTCAAGGTGCATTATTCTCTGTTTTTCTCCCTTCCTTTTTGCATTTTCAATTGTATGTTTAGTTTGTACATTTTATGAAACTCCAGATGCTTTAGAGTTGATTAATGAACGTGTTGCTTACTTCCATTTCCCATTGATTGATAGAAAGGTGAAGGCACACTCCCTCAAGAACTTCTACGGGCTATTGCTCCACCACCTCTTGAGATGCAGCCACAGCAGCAATTGCTTCCTGGAGGAGGAAATATTCATGATAAATCTTCTGGGAAAACTTTAGAAGATCATGTGCGTCATATGGAGTCCAATGAGAAAGATTCACAGGCTGTGGCATCAATGAATGCACAGAACGGTGCAAAAGAGGAAGCTTTTGCCGGAGAAGAGAAAGCAATTGTATCAACAGTCCATGTGCAAGGAGCGCTCGCTGTGGTGAAGGAACCTACTCCTTTGGTGTCTTCTGGAAAAGAAGAGCAGCATTCGACTTTATCTTCTGTAAAGTCAGACCATGAAGTTGAACGTGGTATTCAAAAAGCTTCTGCTAGAAGTGAGATTAAAGTTGATAGGGGGAAGTCTGTTGCATCACAGGTCACACAGGTCGCTGTATCTGATGTCATGCAAGTTAAAAAGCCTGCACAAGCAAGCACTGTACCACTGCCAAAAGATGTTAGCTCTGCTAGAAAGTATCATGGACCTCTTTTTGATTTCCCCTTTTTCACTAGGAAACATGACTCTTTAGGTTCAGGGGTGATGGTAAACAATAACAACAACAACAACAATAATCTAACATTGGCATATGACGTCAAAGATCTTGTTTTTGAGGAAGGTGTGGAAGTTCTTAACAAGAAGAGGACAGAAAATATCAAGAAGATTGGTGGTCTTTTGGCAGTAAATTTGGAAAGGAAACGGATTAGGCCCGATCTTGTCTTGCGGTTGCAAATTGAAGAAAAAAAGCTTCGACTTTCAGATTTACAGGCACGCTTAAGAGATGAAATTGATCAACATCAGCAGGAAATAATGGCAATGCCTGACAGGCCTTATCGGAAGTTTGTTCGGCTTTGCGAACGTCAGCGGATGGAGCTGTCTAGGCAAGTGCAGGCCTCTCAGAAAGCAATGAGAGAGAAGCAACTGAAATCTATTTTCCAATGGCGTAAGAAGCTTCTAGAAGCTCACTGGGCCATTCGCGATGCACGGACTGCACGTAACAGGGGAGTTGCCAAATATCATGAGAGAATGTTGAGGGAATTTTCGAAGAGAAAGGATGATCATAGGAATAAAAGGATGGAAGCACTGAAGAATAATGATGTTGAAAGGTACAGGGAAATGTTGCTGGAACAGCAGACTAGTATCCCAGGGGATGCAGCAGAGAGATATGCTGTTTTATCATCTTTCCTGAGTCAGACTGAGGAATATCTTCATAAACTTGGAAGTAAAATAACATCAGCTAAGAATCAGCAAGAAGTGGAAGAGGCAGCAAATGCTGCTGCAGCTGCTGCACGTTTACAGGTTTGGTCTCCCTCATTCTCCCCACTGGACTTTTTATTTTTATCATTCTTGAATTTTTATTTTCACATGATCTTTTAATAGAACCCTGTTCCTATATGGGTACAAAGTTTGAGAAATGATAGCAATCTTTGCACTAACCTTTGCATCTGGATCTTCTCACATTAACAAATGCCAGGTGTCATTTTTACACAAGTAATGAAGACATGTAATGTCTTTGAAATTATATTTCCTGTTTTCCATCTTTAATTCCCAGCCAAAAGCAAAAGCATTAAAAGTTGATTTTTGTGAAAAAAAATGACGTGGCATTTGTCAAAGTGAAAAGGTTTAAATGCAAAGGTTAGTGCAAAGGTTGCTAGTGTTCTCCACGAAGTTTTTCTTCTTGTGGTAAACCATGCTGATCCTGTTCTCTGTTACTTATCCATGTTGGAATCTGTGTCTACAAATAGGGTCTCTCAGAGGAAGAAGTTAGGACGGCAGCGGCTTGTGCTGGAGAGGAAGTAATGATTAGAAATCGATTTATTGAGATGAATGCACCTAGAGACAGTTCATCTGTTAACAAGTAAGTTTATCGTTGGCTTCGCTTGATAACAGAGAATTTGAATTGCGGTTGGCTCTTGAGATGTATTTTTTTGCTTGTGCTTGCTTTTAAAGTGGCCTAGTAACTTACCATATCTATCTCTCATATTTCTTAATTTTGTACTTCTCATATTGCACTATCCATTTGTTTCAAAAACTTTTATTTTAAAGAAGAGCTCTCTTATGTGTTGTGAATGAACTTTCATATGTATAATAATCAATATCTACTATTTGTTTCTCATTCTTCATGAATATTTTCAGGTATTATAGTCTTGCACATGCTGTGAATGAAAGGGTCATAAGGCAACCCTCGATGTTACGGACTGGAAACTTAAGAGACTATCAACTTGTAGGTTTCTGCAATTAAGAATATTTACTATTTACGTTTTGCCTTCAGTCGCCATTGCTTTTGTAGCATACTAGACCTTTTTTTGACTGTCTGTTTGATTCCGCAGGTTGGGTTGCAATGGATGCTTTCTCTGTATAACAACAAATTAAATGGAATATTAGCAGATGAAATGGGTCTTGGGAAAACAGTACAGGTAAGTTTCTCTTCTGTTCAGTGCCTTGCTTCAGACATGAAAAGCCAAATCTTATTATGGTGCACAGCTTTTGCGGTTGATATATCATATATTCGTATTGGCCATATGTGGGGGAGTGAGTCTCATGTTTCCATTTGCAGTCTCTGAGTTTACCTAAATGATCTATAATCCTCATGCAGGTAATGGCATTGATTGCATATTTAATGGAGTTCAAAGGGAACTATGGGCCGCATCTCATAATTGTTCCAAATGCTGTCTTGGTAAATTGGAAGGTTAGTTTATTTGCTGTTCTACTTCTACAATATCTACATTGCTTACCATTTGCTATGATGCCTAACTGAGTTCCCTGTACAGAGTGAGTTGCATACTTGGCTTCCATCCGTGTCATGCATTTATTATGTTGGTGGGAAGGATCAACGGGCAAAATTGTTTTCTCAAGTACGATTCACCAATTTTTTTATCTACTTAAATGTTTGAATTCTAGAACAATGTTAACCTTCCTTTTGCTATTTGGTATGTAGGAGGTTTGTGCCTTGAAGTTTAATGTCCTCGTGACAACTTATGAGTTCATTATGTATGATCGGTCTAAACTCTCAAAAATTGATTGGAAGTATATAATAATTGATGAAGCACAAAGGATGAAAGACAGGGAATCGGTTCTAGCACGTGATCTTGATAGGTATCGTTGCCAAAGGCGCTTGCTTTTGACAGGAACACCATTGCAGGTTCGTTAAGAGAGGTCGCAACACTCGTATACGTACATTATTTAACTTCCTTTTTAAGAAGTCAAGAAATGCTTGATGAGGATGCAATTTTCTGTAGATGCAAACATAATATGTGCTTTATTTTGATAGATAGACCTAACTAAGTTATGGCTGAAAATATTTAGCTGCTGATTTGATTTGATAGCCTTTTTGATTAATTTGTCTATTCATAAATGGAAGCATGCGATTTATTCTTATTTTATTTGAAAATACAAGGCATGAAAAACCAATATACTATGAAGTTAAAATAGAGAACCTAATTCATTGAACTTAGAAATGTTATTCTGTTCAAAATAAATTAGAAGTGTCAGTCATGAATGAGATTAATGATCTGTTTGATCATTTGGTTGCTTATGTGTATGTATTTATCCTTGTTTTATTGTTTTATTATTTTGAATTGAGCTGATGTGGGAATAACTTTTCAATTACAGAATGATTTAAAGGAACTCTGGTCACTTTTAAATCTGCTTCTTCCAGAAGTATTTGATAATCGGAAAGCATTTCATGACTGGTTTTCAAAACCCTTTCAAAAGGAAGCCCCTACACCAAATGCAGAAGATGACTGGCTTGAAACTGAAAAGAAAGTTATCATCATTCACCGACTTCATCAAATTTTAGAGCCTTTTATGCTTAGGCGGCGTGTTGAAGATGTGGAAGGTGCACTCCCATCTAAGGTATGCTTTAGCGATTATCCTTAGTAATCATTTCTTACTGTGGTTGATTTCTAACAATGATGCTTGTTTGCAGATCTCCATCGTTTTGAGGTGTAGAATGTCAGCCATTCAAAGTGCTGTATATGACTGGATCAAATCAACAGGCACTATTCGAGTGGATCCTGAAGAAGAGAAGCTAAGGATTCAAAAAAATCCACAATACCAGCCCAAAGTGTACAAAACATTAAATAATAGATGTATGGAACTGCGAAAAACTTGCAATCATCCGCTGCTCAATTACCCGTTCTTCAATGATTTTTCCAAGGATTTTCTTGTAAGATCCTGTGGGAAATTATGGATCCTGGACAGGATCCTTGTTAAACTTCAAAAAACAGGGCATCGAGTACTTCTTTTCAGTACCATGACAAAACTCCTTGATATTTTGGAAGAATACTTGCAGTGGCGTCATCTTGTCTTCAGAAGGATTGATGGAACAACCAGTTTAGAAGACCGTGAGTCAGCTATAGTGGATTTCAACAGACCTGGTTCAGACTGCTTTATCTTCTTACTTAGTATTCGTGCTGCGGGTCGGGGTCTTAATCTCCAGTCTGCTGATACAGTTGTCATATATGATCCTGATCCAAACCCTAAAAATGAAGAGCAGGCAGTTGCTAGAGCCCATCGCATTGGACAGAAGAGAGAGGTCAAGGTCATCTATTTGGAAGCAGTTGTTGACAAAATGGCTAGCCATCAGAAAGAGGATGAACTACGAAGTGGAGGTACAGTTGATTCAGAGGATGACCTTGCTGGTAAGGACCGGTATATCGGATCAATTGAGAGCCTCATAAGAAACAATATTCAACAGTACAAGATTGACATGGCTGATGAGGTTATCAATGCTGGGCGTTTTGACCAGAGAACAACTCATGAAGAGAGACGTATGACTCTGGAAACCTTACTGCATGATGAAGAAAGGTACCAAGAAACTCTTCATGATGTTCCCTCATTACAGGAGGTAAATCGCAGGATTGCTAGAAGTGAAGAAGAAGTTGAATTGTTTGATCAGATGGACGAAGAACTTGACTGGATTGAAGAAATGACAAGGTACAACCAGCTCCCCAAATGGCTTCGAACCAGTACAAACGAAGTAAACGCTGTGATTGCCAGTTTATCAAAAAGACCATCTAAGACCACTTTGTTGGGTGGCAATGCTGGTTTGGAGTCCACTGAAATGGGCTCTGGTTCATCTCCGAAAACTGAAAGAAAGAGGGGGCGGCCCAAGAAAAATCATCCTAGCTACAAGGAGTTAGATGATGACAATGGCGAATACTTTGAAGCAAGTTCTGATGAGAATGAAGAAGAGGGAGAAGTTGAAGAGTTAGAGGATGATGAATATAGTGGTGCTGTTGAGGCAACACCAATTATTAAGGAACAAGTGGAAGAGGATGTCCTTGAATGTGATGGTGGATACGAATATCCCAAGGATTCAGAAAGAGTTAGAAACAACCACATACTAGAAGAAGCTGGGTCCTCAGGATCATCCTCAGACAGTCGGAGATTGATGCAGACAGTGTCTCCCGTTTCTTCTCAGAAATTTGGGTCCCTGTCTGCCTTAGATGGTAGGCCGGGATCTGCTTCAAAGAGGATGGTATGTCTTATCTCTCTGTATTGATTCTTTATAGTTGGGTTGTTTGTGTGTGCTATTTCACTAATGTCTCTTGGTGTTTTCCAGCAAGATGATGTAGAGGAAGGTGAGATTGTCGTATCGGGTGATTCTCATGTGGACCATTTGGACCACCAACAATCTGGAAGTTCGAATCATGACCGTGATGAAGGTGAAGATGAACAGGTTTTGCAACCCAAGATCAAGAGGAAGCGTAGCCTTCGGGTTCGCCCTCGTCATACCATAGAGAGGCCAGAGGAGAAGTCTGGTAGTGAGACGCCATCTCTTCAACGGGGAGATTCATCTCTGTTGCCATTTCATGTGGACCATAAATCTCAAGCACAGTCAAGGGCTGATTCTGAAATCAAAACATATGGAGAGCCCCATGCTGTAAAGCACGACCAAAGTGATTCATCTTCAAAAACTAGGCGAATTTTGCCTAGGAGAGGCTCTAATATGTCCAAAGTGCATGTTTCACCTAAATCTGGCAGATCAAATGGCATGTCTGATCCTGCGGAAGATGCTGCTGAACCCCACAGAGAAAATTGGGATGGAAAAGTTGGGAATACTAGTGGAACTTCTGTTTATGGCACAAAAATGTCTGAGATCGTCCAGAGAAAGGTATGCACTTGTCTCCTATATTCTGTTTGAAATTACTGCTGTGTTCTGATTTTTGAGGTGATAAATGCTGCCCTTATCTGCTGCTTGCACTTGCACTAGCACACGCGCGCACACACAGATATATAATATGTCATAAGGTGCCTGCTTCCTGTTTATGCAGTACGTCTGAAACATCAGTATATAATTATACTGGTAGATGTGGTGTGGCGTGTAAATGTAAACACGTGTTGGCCTTTATTCTTTGTTTATTTTGTTTTGGCTATGGTTTTTCTCTTGCAATTCTTTGTTGAAGTCTAACTAATATTGCTACATTTGCAGTGCAAGAATGTAATTAGCAAGTTCCAAAGGAGAATAGACAAGGAAGGTCCTCAGATAGTACCTTTACTAACAGATTTGTGGAAGCGCATTGAAAATTCTAGTTACGCAAGTGGATCTGGAAATAATCTCTTGGATTTACGAAAGATTGATCAGCGGATAGAGAGGTTGGAGTATGCTGGAGTAATGGAGCTTGTGTCCGATGTGCAGTCTATGTTGAAAAATGGAATGCAGTTTTATGGGTTTAACTATGAGGTAAGTTGCTCAAGTTTTGATGTTCTGCCTTTGTTCATTGGTATACTGATTCACTGCATTTCCATTCTGTCTTAATTACCTTTTATTTTTATTTTTTTTAACTATTGTCTCTCATCTCTGTATGCTAAAACATACATCTTGTACAACATCCAGAAAACTGGATTTGGTTAAAACATGGCTACAGAAAAGTAACCTGTTGATAGTGTTGTAGCCAAAGTGTGTAAAGTGTTTAAAGGTTTGAGGGCCACAAAAACCCTAAACTTTTGATAGTTTATGAATGCCTGTATTTTTCAATTGTATGTGCAAGTGACAGATTTCCTTCCTTTGCTGTTAGTAGATGCATTTATGTACTTATGGTCTGCAGTCTTCCAATAAATTGAACTGACAGCCTCGGGTTTAACAATGATGCACAGGTAAGAACTGAAGCCAGGAAAGTACATGATCTTTTCTTTGATATCTTGAAAATAGCTTTTGCGGAGACTGATTTTCGAGAAGCCAGAAGTGCACTCTCATTTACTAGCCCAGTTTTAACCAGCAATGCTCCGTCCCCTAGGGCGGCAACTGTTGGCCTAAGCAAGAGACACAAACTGATAAATGAGGTGGAGCCTGACTCAACCCCCCAACAGAAGCCACAACAACGTGCACCAATTTTCAACGGCGAAGACACAAGGGTGCGAAGCCATATGCTCCAGAAGGAATCAAGACTTGGGAGTGGAAGTGGTAACAGTCGGGACCACTATCACCAGGATGATTCTCCACCGCTTGCTCATCCAGGGGATCTGGTTATCTGCAAGAAAAAGAGAAAAGACAGGGAGAAGTCCGTGGTGAAGACCAGGACTGGATCTGCTGGCCCTGTTTCACCCCCAAGCGTGGGTCGCAGTATTAGAAGTCCAGGTCCAAATTCAGTTCCAAAACAGAACCCCCATTCGCAAGGGTGGGCTAACCAGCCTGGTCAGCCGACGAACAAGGGTGGAGGGTCGGTCGGTTGGGCCAATCCCGTGAAGAGGTTAAGGACAGATTCTGGAAAGAGACGCCCGAGCCATTTATGACTCCGCATAAGGATTGACAGATGATGTGCTGGAAGACGACGTCGCTCCTTTTCTTCTTCTCCATCTTGTTCATAGATTTAGTGGCATAAGCGCAGTTAGCCAGACTGTTCATACAGTGTAGGTCTTGGTTTACCATCACCTTTTTTTCGTAAAATTCTCAGTAGTTGTTTCTTAAAACTTGCGTGGCTCGCAGGTCTTACCCTCCCTCTGATAGAGGAGAGGAGAGCAGACCTTTGTAAAGTAAGACATTCCCTTGGTACCAAATCTTGAAGATTTCATGTTTATCATTGTGGCGATTCGTGCCAATGAATTGACATATTATGACATGATATCATAAGCATGGGACACTAGAGTGAGCGTACCCATGCCATGGGGTCTGGAAGTCGTCCGGATTTCGCCGGCTGAAGTTAGAGAATGCGTGTGCAGATTATGGACCAACATGTTTAAGAACATTGATTCGAGACACCAGATAAATAAAGCAAACGAACGATTGATGCATGAACACAAATGGTACATACATTCACAAGGGCAAAGGAAACTGATACAAGCTGGGAAATTTTCTTTCCCTTCCCAATATCCAGTCTTGTTTGGAGTTGGGATGAATTAAGAAAAGGCTACAACATCATGTACAGAGATGCAAACGGTTATAAAACAAGGGACCTGAAATCCCTATGGATCGGCTTGTCCTGCAACTTGATCGTCGCAAGAATCAGATTCAGCATCACTCATTTCCTCGTCACTTGATTCTTCTTCCGGGGCAGCTCCTATATCCTCAGCCTTGGCATACTTCAGACAGAATTCTGTATGATTGAGCAATAGCAGTCACGTCCAAAGTTACAGGAATTCAATGCAACAGCTGTGTATATATCAACAGGATCTAATCTATGTATGAAGTATCGATACTTGCACATTGACATAGCCGAATCCAATAGTTAAATTAGAAGAATGTGATTTGAATTGGACTTAAACTCGGAGCCGATTGAGATTTAGCTTGCCCAAATCCAATCCAGTTCAGGATTCAAGTAAATTTCTGTTCAAATTCCACAAGATCCATATTTCACCAGTCAAATAAAACGCAAAGAATAATCGATCAAGAAATAAAACGCAAAGAATAATCGATCAAGAAAATGCAACAGTCTTGTTTAGCGAGGAATTGGAAAAATCCATAAATGCAGAAATCCAGGGACCGTTTGATAACTATTCTGTTTTTGTCTTAAGTTTACTTCTCAAACATAACACTTCAGTTCACACTGTATGAATAAGAGAAGCATTATTATGTCAACACTCTGAGGTTTATACCCCGCAAACAAAAGGTTTAACACTAATTAGCACTAACCTAGTAATCTTGACAAGGATACACTGAAGCCAAAACTTTAGGGAGACAAGAAGCTAAAAAATACCTTTAACTCTTTGTTCATAAGCAGGTCGGTCACGCATCATCAAAGCTGCAGCCTCTCCGTTTAAAGGGTCAGACGGATTGGGATACAGGAGAAGCTGTGGCAAGAACACTTCAAATACGTTTACCAGATCTGGAAACACAGGCAGATGTAAGACCAATAATTTCAACAATAAAACTTGGATTTCGGTATAAAAAGTAAGGCTGGTTAAATGTGTTTACCAAACATGGGGCTCCACGTCTGATTGATAACATCTAAACAAACTGAGCCAGACCTGAAATTAGATTCCTCTTATCGTTTAATCGACAGCGCAACACAATTCAGAATAGTAGGAATTTATGATGGTTAGTTTAGTACTCACATCTCATCAACATTTGGGTGGTACATCTTATTGACAAAGCCTATTGAGGGAGATTTATAGGGATAAGCATCTGGTAGCTCAACTCTTATCCTCCACACACCTCCCTGATAAATACCTGCCACAATCCATGATATCGACGAAAAGGCCAATTCAAGTAGCTACTTTGCAAACCCAAATTATCAAATCCAATTAGAGCAATTCCATTAGAACTTGTTATCAAATCAAACACATTTATAACATAGAGCAAGTTTATTTCTTTTTGATCATTAAGTGCTAGATTTCTTCCAGATTTCCAATCAAGAATCTACAACTCATAACATCTATAAATTCAAAAATTAGCTCAATCAAGAAATAATCAAAATCAGCACAAAAATACAAGAAAAAAAAATCATGGAGTAGCTCTAAAAATTAGAAGAAAAAAAGAACTCAAGGGTTTTGAAGGTATACTGTCAGTGGGTCCATGGAAATCCACATAGAACTCATGCATTCCATCATTGATCATTTCTACCTTGTAATCACTCATCATCCTGATAGAACACAAGGAAAAGAAAACAGGAAGGAAAATTAAGATAAAACAATATTAATCTGAGAAAAACACAGAATATTAAGAATTATATAATCAGAAAATTCACAGTTTCATCAAGTCCATCTCTCTGCGTTTGCTTGGGGAAGACATGGTGTTGGGGCAAGTCAATTTCTGTGTTCTTCTGTGCTATGAGTTCTGAGAGAGAGAGAGAGAGAGAGAGAGAGAGAGAGAGAGGAGTTTCTTGCAAACTGAGAGAACTAGAAAACGGTTTAGACAAACAATAAGTGAAAAGTAGAAGATAATCAAATAAAAATGATGGCTGAAATTTTCTTGCAGGACCCACTTTTTAAATTTTTATACTGATCGCTTTACATTGGTTGCACTTTCTCGAAAGATTCCTTCTTTGTCAAACAATTCTATTCATTCCAATAAAATTTGAGAATTTTAAGAAAAATTTTATAATACTGTTTATTTTAACGAAAAATCATATTTTTACATCAAAAAATCAATCTTGATACTATTCACTTTACCATTTACTTTTTCTTTATCTTTAAAACTCAGAGTTTTCAAACCAATTTTCAATAGTTTTCATATAAAATTACTCTTCCCAACCACACGTAATTGCCAATTCAAACAGATTAATTAAACATTACTCAACGCCTCCTTCCAAATTCCCCATGACATCATTAATTCTTGTCCTTTTCAAGGTTATAAATTAAAAAAATGACAAATCATAAATATGTCTATTCATGACTGATCATTATGTCATCAATTGTCTTTCCTTTTAAAAAAGAAGAAAAATGAATGATCATTGTGCCACGATTAATCTTTAACACGATTAATCTTTAACATCGTGCATTGATTAATCTGCTTTGATATTATAAATAAAGATGATGTTTTGATATGAGGCACTTTTTACATTCTATGTGAACAAAGAAACTTAATGGTTGGGACGAGTGATTTGTTTTTCCTTAACATTATGATGAGTTTTTAACTTAAATCTCTAACTTAGGGTTTAATGTTCTGCTGTCATGTATTTTATATTACCAAAATTGTTACTTTTAAACATTTTAATTCTAATTTTGGCTTGGTCACATGAACACTTTAACTATATAACATATATATATATATATATATATATTACATGACGAACTTTAACAATCTGAATCGTCTGTTTTGTAAAGTCTTGATTCATAGATTATTCTTGTAAAAATTTAATTTAATCCGAAACCATTGCCTATTTTATTATAACGATGAAATTTCATTATTTCATAGAACAAAATGTTTGTTAATTTCTTGGCGGTTAGGTGTCTCGCGTCCCTTCCAACTCGAGGTTGTGCGTATGCTTTGGCACTGGTGGTAAGAGTAACCAATCTCCCCTTTTTTAGTTTTAGTGTCAATTTCCTTGAACTCAATTACATGTCTCAAATATTTCCGATTTGGCTAATATTTTGTAAGGATGATCTAAGAGATGCAACTTAAAAAATAGACGGTGCGGATCATTGAAGTTCATTGTGGTGTGAGCCTCACAATGGATCCCCATTTAAAAAAAAAAATAGGGATCTCTTTAGGAAAGACCTCCTATATATATATATATATATATCAAACTGTCAAAAATGAAACCACCACGAGGTGGCTTAGTGGTTGGGGACTAATTCTAGGCTTGTATTCCACACGGAACATCATAGGTTCGATTTCTGGCACTGGTGAATCACACGATGGCCAGGAGAAGGCTAAAATGTCTTTGTGAGTCTTTTCGACCCCTAAAATGATTGACTGTCATGACGAAGTCAAAAACTGATCTCCTTTTTATTGAAATAAAAACCTACTAAAAATGAAATTTACAATTTTATTTAGACACAGAATATAACACCCATTTTCTTAGATACGATCTGTAAGGCAAGGGAAGAGGATGATGTGGGGTCAAATAAGTTTAAAGGGCACCTAAAGCATATCTTGGCAAGTGGGTGAAGCACAATCTTGGAGTTCACGGGGCTTCCTTTACATTAAACGATGGATTTTGACATAGAGAACCTAACTCACCCTTTCCTCTTTGCCCAACCAAACCCTGCCTGGGGCAAGTTTTGGCAACGTTTTACGTGTCAGCGATTTCTGACCACTGATTTTTCAAAAATCTTACTAATTGAGCGTCAGAATCCGCACTCACACGAACACGCACAACTCAATATAATTGCTTGAACAATTGATCATGGCATAGCACAACTTTTATGTTCATTTCTTAATCACAGAACATGGCACACCAATGTCCTAAAACTTAAAATCTAAGCATGAAAGATAAAGTGGAACAAGTTATTGTCACATGGTCCAATCTCCTGGTCCCAATCAAGCCAATGCTCAACAAGTGAAATGTGACGTATAATAAATGGCAAAACAAGCTTATAGAATGAATAAATAATTAAATTTAAATCAGGATAATACTAGAGAGATCAAATTTTTAAAACTAAATTTACAACCAAATGATGTAATTGTTGATAATTAAATTATTACTTAAGCATTAATTACCATACTTATTTTACAAATTAAATTTAAAATTTTAGTTTCCACTTTACCCAATAAACCCACCTACATAATAAGGACAGCTTTCAAGTTGCTTGCTTCCACATTTCAAAGTGCTCTTTAAAGGATTTGGATCCCCTCCTGAGTAGAGGGTCTGAATCCTGCTAACCAAGAAATACGAACCGTTGGATCAAAATCCAACGATTACAATTATTATAACTTTTAGAAGATCTTTCTGTTTGTAATCATTAGATTTTGATCTAGCGGTCCGTATTTATTAGTTAGCAGGATTCGGACCCTCTGAGGAGAGGATCCAAATCCCTCCTTAAAGCGTACAGTGACCAATCATTACGATGGAAGAAAATAGTATTGAGCAATTAGGTTCATTATTTTATTTAAGGGCTTCAGATTTTTATGTAAGCCTAAATCAAACTTCGGATCAGTATCAATTAACTATTAGTATAGCGACATCGCAAAAAATAGTCTTCCGCCTTGGGGAAATAACCGAGAGTGCAAACTTCTTCATGCTTGCTCGACTTCTCTGTTCGATGTCAAAAGGAAATATCTATTCTATATCAAGAAGTACACAAACAATGCCTAACCATTTTTATTTTTTTACAACGATATATTTTACGTTAAGTGAGGAGAAGTTCGATTAAGCCACACAATAGACAACTTAGTTTGATATTGATTTCGTCATCCATGAGATTCGAACCTAAAACATCTCACTTACAAATGAATAAGAATACTACCAAACCATAATATTGAATAATTAACAGTGCCTAACCTTTGAGTCATTGGATCTATAAGATAATAATTATCCATATTAATACATGAAATCAAGATGGCTGGCTGCCCTCTACAAGTCGCTTGTTGTTTTCTTCTTTTTCTTCTATTCCTCTAATGTGGATTATGTGATGTTTGGTTGTGGTGTTAGTTGAATAAACAAGTTGAAAAGGTGCTAAAAACGCACAGATGGGATGCAACAGAAGAATCCGGATCCTCTTTGTAAGGAACGGGAGATCCGTGAATCGTGTCTGTTCATCGTACGATCATAAATCATTTTAAATCTTTTTATTTAAAATTGAACACAAACAGTACTCGACGAAAGTTGATTGCACAATGTACAATAAACGAACACGATTCATGGATTCCTAGAATCCTTTTAAAAAGGATCCGGAGAGAAATCAACAGAGCAAGTGCAACTCACAAATCACGATGCATGAGAGGTCAAAAGTCGCAACATCTTTAACAAGACATTCCTGCATGCACCAAGATGCATGCCAAGGTACCAACAAGGTTACCAAGTAAAAGCATTGATCCGCCTATCCAACAAGAAGACAATGACAACCACATACATAATCAAAAGATCAATCAACAGACAAATGCATAAACCAAAACAAAAATGCCTGAGAGCAAAATCCATTCAATTAACCAATTTCATAGACCACCGCAATTGCAATTACAAGTTCTGTGACTGAGACCACTGTTTAGGATCTACAAGACTACATCTAACCATTTTCGCTGTTCCCTGTATTCATTCCCAAAGGCTTCTTTTTCAATCAGCTTTTGCTGTCAAAAACCTAAAAGAAACGTCCATAAAAAAAATGAAAAACCTGCATCTCAGAAGGTGGAGTAAACGAACAAGACTTAGAGAGCATCATTGCTGCTCTGAATTGCCACAGCTGCGCTTCCAAGCCCGAGTTCGTCATTAAAAAGCTTCAAAATCACTTCTGGAAATGGATATCTTTATACCTCATAATTTTATATTTCAAAGGCCCTGATGCCTCTTTCCTGGCACATTAAGGAAACATTCCCCAGACATACCAGGCTTCACAATCTCCCCAAAAAGTGCCCTTCCAATAGCTATCTGTGTTTTGCATGTGGCTTATGTGGGGATTTTAATATTGATTTTGATGACATGTGTTCTTCATTCCCAAAACCGTTAGTCATTGATTCCGACTCTAAATCTTCATCATCACTATCAATGTTGTTTGGAGTAAACCTGTTCTGGTATCCTCTACGCTGCAAGAGAAAGACATTGAAATAGTAGCTAACCAATTGTCTCCTGCTCTTCTTAGTAAAAGACTTATATATCTCATCCCAAAAATGCAATCCAAGAGATGAAGGATTTGACTTTACTATGGCCTCGAACTTCTTTCCTTCTGCTTCTGTCCAAGTGAGTCCAACTTCCTCGCCCATCTGATTGAATTGCCAGTGGTAGAAAGCTGCCCCCAATTCTCGCTTAACTCTTAGCCGTTTCTCGGAAATGTGAAATCTGACGCATTCTATAGAACCTGGCACTTGACATCCACAAGACTCTTGTCTTCCCTTTCCAATAGGATCTCTCTCAATGAGATATCTGTGCTCTGGTTTTTCCAATGGCCAAATCCTGGACCCCAACCACTTTGATTCACTTTCAGAAGCCTTACCAGTCCATTCTGGCAACTGAGCTTGATAATTTGACCCCAGAAGAATATGGCTTGGAGAATAATCACTAGTTCCTCGCAACTGATCCTCCATCCCTGCCATGCCAGGACTATTTTTGTCCAAGTCACTGGCCGAGGATGACTCTGAACAGGCTCCTGATTGTGACGTTCTCCCTCCTGAAAGAAGCTTCTTCTCCAACCTTAGCCTCTCTCTAAGATTGTAAGCGGAGCCAAAACTATCATCGTACATGCTTGGATGCATCCTCTGATTCTTCTACAAGTGGGAACATGGTTTAATGTCAAAAGGAAAAAAAATATGAAGATAAGTATGTTGTTTATCGGTTTAACCAATATCTGAATATAGCAACCACGGCACCAGATAGAAAGACTATCAAACATAAATGGAGATTACATCAATATATCTATTTTTATCTGAAGGTAAACATTGTCTTACAATTTGTCAATACAAAAGAAGCCATTTACCCTATAAGTGTTGCATATCTATTATGTTACAAACAATTCACAATTAACTAGTTGGGTATAACTAGTCAGACCAGTTTAAATATTATACTAGGAAGCATTTTCCAGTATAAGCAAAAATAAGGACATCCTTTTCTAGGTTGTAATCCAATGATGGGAACCATTCAGTTTTTCGCTTCTCGTGCAAGGATTATCAACAACAGCTTAGCAGTTTAATTATCTTCACTGTCGTTCAATTTTACCTAATTGTGACTTTTTTTTTTTTTTGCACATTTTTAAATGACCACAGAGTTTAGGGTCTTGAAGAAGGAGCTACAATATAGACGGTTTGATTGTTGAACTGCATTGCAGGGAAGGACATATGCATATTTTCTAAAAATAAAAAATATACATCCTGAAAATAGAATACACTAGCACACTCGCGTATTCACCAGCATAGCATATATAAAATTAATGTGAATCTATTTTATCAAGAAAGGCATAATATTAGCAAAACAATAACATTTCGATATCCCAAAGGGACAAAAAATGCGAATAGATAATTCAGTCCCAGCAATAAAGGCAATCAAATTAAAAACATGACTAAATTAAAACGATGCATGCGTGCTTGCACACACATACGTGTATACAACTTTAACCTGAAGATATTATCAAATGTACACATGCAAGTAAATATTTCCAATTATCTAAAAAGTTATAGCACATAGCATATGTTGATATACCTGCCAGTTAGACTGTTCAGGACCTGAATCAGTATGCCTCTTCAGAAATATAGCTTCTCGAGCCTGCAAAACCTGCACCCAGTTCTCCTCCTTCCCGAAAGACTTCCACCTTGACCTCTCTGGTAATGAACCAACTGAAGGATCACAAGGATCCTTTGCAATCATTCTAACCCAATTCAACATTCTACACAATGACTCTTGCTCTTTTTCACAAAAAGGACTCGCGTCTTCAACTGTTGAGGCATCCAAAAACGTTACATGTTCATCGCTGCTGTCATTTTTCTTCCCTCTAAGCAATTCCCCCGCCTCGCTCCCACCCAACTCTCGCTTCCTTTTACGGAAAGAGTTCACTTCTTCAACAGCAGAGGGATCCAAAATCATGACATCTTCATCAACGTCATCATTTTTCGTCCCTCCACCTGATTCCCCCATCTCACTTTTTACCTCATCATTGTCACGCAACTTGTCAACATCCTCCATGCTATTCGTTAAATCCACAACCAAACATGACATGCCACCACCTGACAAAAGCACATTACCATTGCCAAATTTTCCAGCATTCAAAACATTCGCCACATTCCTTGTATCCAAATCCAGAAACTCGTCACTGACACCACTTTTCTTGAGCCTATCTGAATTTGCTACCGCACTTCCCACCTCATTACTGTCCTTAAAACTCTTAGATGACAATTCGACATTCGGGTAACCCCCGTCTTTCAACTTTCGATCAGGCATATCTGAGAAGAACTCTGTAAACTCGTCCTGCAAGGCCATCAAATGCTCACCCAAATCAATGTCACTACTTGCCAAACTCCATTCAAAATCCTTCTTTTCTATAACCCTCTCTAGCAAATACAAGTACTTAACATAAACCAATTTCACAGCCCAGCCAAGACGCAAACCCAAGTCACACTCTTCAGCCACCGAGTCCCAAACCCCGGTTTCCGAAAGACCACGAAACCCACCTCGCCTTCTCACAATCCAAAACAGCTTGAGCAAATCCACCCGTTGCCCATTACCGATCATCGGAGGCAAAGGCCGGAGCAAGTCTTGGGCAGAGATCTCTTTCAGAAAAACCCCAAGGAACTGATCGAACCAGCATCGTAGCTTATCGGGCACGTCTAAAACGAACCGTTTTGGAGCTTTCGGAGGTAGTTCGAGATCGGCCGAGGAGTCGTCCGTCCGGTCCTCTTTCGGGGTTTCGGCGCAATCTAAAGCGGACTCACCAGCTACCCACGACCACCCTGCCATGGATTCTGAATTCAAACCCTAAAAAGCAATCCGCTGGTTGTTTTTCTTTCCAACAAAAAACAAAACCCAAAACCACAGAGGGCAATAGAAAATCACTTCAAAATTCAAACACAAGAATCGATTTTGACGAGAAATACATGAAATTGGTACGGATTAAGATGGAATACAGAATTTTGGCGGGAAAATAGATCTATATCTAGGGCTGGAAAGAAACAGAGCCATATCCATAAGAAAACGTTACCGGGTTTGGACCCCATGAAAATCAGAAATTTGTTCAGCCCCGGCCCTTCTTTTATTGCAGGGATTGATGATTGGGCGTGCGATTGTGTGCGTGTGGGAGAGAAAGAGACGGCATAAAAATTTCCATGTTTTTGAACAGAAAAAAACAGACCCACAATCCACAATTTAGGTCAATCTAATAATACATACATACAGGAGGGAGAGAGAGAGAGAGAGAGAGAGAGGGAGAGAGAGAGAGAGTGAAAAGAGAAACCATACCAGTACTGGTGTTGTATTTTTTAGAGGGTTTTTTTGCATTTGATTTTTGGTGACTGAGCCTTTGCTTTCCCTTTGGGGTTGTCTTCTTTGAGTCTTTGATGCTTGACACCTTGGGCTTTTGGCCTCTATATCTCTCTCTCTCTCTCTACTCTCTAGAAAGTAGAGTCTCTCTCATTTCTTTTCTCTTTGATATGTTACCACCACTTCCCACCCCAAACCCAACTCTTCTATTTTTTTTTTTGTTGAGGTGTGAGAGAGTTTTTGATGAAAAATAATGGGATTTTGAAAAGCTCATAGGTTTTGAGGGAGGGCCACTATTCCCCTATATTTATAGTTCACATCATCCCACTAACCTTGGTTAATTATTTACTAGGTGCTTGAGTTACGATGGGCTTGACCCTTTAGGTTTAAGTGGTTGTATTGGAGAAAATCGTTTTTTAAATTATAATTAAAATTATCTATATGATTTGTAACGACTAAATCCCAAAAAAGTCTTTACAAACTAGATTTAAAAATATTACAATAATCACAATTAACCGCAAATCAATAAGTAGATTTCAAGCACTTCTTTGAAAGCCGAGCTCACCTAGAATCACAAGATTACAAGAATCAATAGAATCGCTAAATCTCGTGTTACACAAAGATTGTGGGAGAACAAAAAACTCTCAAATTGTATTAGGATAGAGATTATGACGCTCATAGGTCTAATTGCATCACCTAATCACTGCCATAACCCCATAACACCAAGTCAAATATATCCAAAAAATAAAACAACTTCACCCCTTTTCACACAAAGATCTGAACGCCAGGACGAAACTAAAAGAAAACACTTTTTCAAAGAGAGCAATCAAAACAAACATACTCCTAATGAGTTTCTAGTAATTATTTAATATAATCTCAATTAAAAAGACAAAATAGCGTATTTGAGAATGACATATGGACTTTATGCTCTTTATAACAGATTTACCCTTGATGTTGTTAGCAGACCAGAGGCTACCTTAGGGAACGTGGCACTTGTTTGATCTCTTAGAAGGAAGGTGGCACCTGTTGCCCTGTGGGTACTAAGCCTTTGGGCCACTAACGTACCAAAGGTGCTTCATACCTATGACATGTCCTGTCACTGGGCCATACTCAGCCTAATGGGGAGTCTCCCCTTAGGTGTGTGGTGCATCTGGGCATTACCAACATGGACCATTGTGACTACTAGTAGTCAGGACTGCGGCGACTACACCATCATTAGCAGAATGTTAAGGTTTGCCTAATATGGCTTGCAACTTCCCCTCCCGGTTTCTTGCTAGGGTTTCAAGTTTATAAATAGCCAAGTCAAACAGGGAAAACAATAATCGCCACTTACTACTCAGAACTCTCTCAAGTTCATAGTTTCTCTCAAAGTATCTCTCTGACTCAAGTATCAGAGTCCATGTGGCGAACACGCTTCCCCTTTCTATCGGGTGTTTGTCAATTAGGCTTACAATGTTTGTTATCTTGCATGTGTGATTTCGTCGATCTAGTCTTGTACAAAATTTGCCACCTCATCTCCACATCCTCCTGGTATACTATAGCGTTGTACTGGAGAAATACTTAGTGTCGTATTGGCTAAACCCTTACTCGACACAAATTCGATAGATTTCACACCTTGTAGCATAGTGTTGGTAGAGCAATAACGTTAGTGGGTTAGATAGTTATTTGTTCATGGAAGGGGAATTGGTGGGATTGAACTCGCACCAAGGTACATAAGCATGATTACTTTTTACCAGTGCGGTAAAGCATCACCTGTCATCTTATTCCTATTTTGATTTATAACAAATGTAACTTTTTTTTTCAACAAGGCACGTGTTGTACCAAACCCAAAGGGTTGGTCTAGCGGAAAGTGAGCAAAGGTTGGGAATCTCTAACCCGAGTTTGAACTCCCGCTTGATATATTCATTGGGGGCGTTAACTCTTTTTTAGAATACCGTTTGACACCGAGGCTAAAAGTACGTTACTGCCTTATTTGATATTAGAGTATGAAGAAAGAAATTAGTCTGTCATCAATATGTGGTACCGGGACCGCAAGTGTTATTCCACTTGAGGTGTAATATCTTATAAATCTAATTTAATGTCTCACAAATTTGTTACCCACACGACTTCTGATTTGAATTCAAGTTTCTTATACCATAACAATAAAGTTTGGCGCTACCATCCACACGAGTAGATAATTTATCTCCACGAGAGCCAAAGACTATTTAACTAAGGTATGGAAAACGACTAAAATTTACCAACTTGATTTATTATTATATCTCAGAAGGAAGATAAGAGGTAAAAAATGACATCTTTGATCTTATCAAGGTATGTGCTGTAACTGCTTCAGTTTAATTAATACACGTAAAATCCAAAGGGTTATAGTTCGGATAGTCAAAAGATTTTACCGTGGTACTTGATGTCTCAAGTTTGATTCTCAAACTCCCTCATATCCCTTTGTATAATATCCTTTTAACATAATTGAAATGAGTACGTAAAATCGCTTGTATCCAAGATAACTCAATAATAATTCCATTCCTTATCTAATATGAAAATTTATCCTTTTAAATTAACATATACCACCATATGTAGCAACTAATCATCGTATATAGAAGACTAACAGTATAAGGATGCTCATCCTATTTCAAAATTTTACCTAAATAGAAGATTTCGACAACTTTATAATCCATCATGATGAACAAATACAATGTACGGATCATGGACCCAATTTTTGCACCTTCGACATTAGTGATTTTGTGTTTGCTGGCCGAAGAATAAAATCTCATGATATCTTATGATTTCCTCCAACAAACTAGAGAGGTGCTTGATTAGTTGTTGGTCATCAAATTCTCATACATTCCTTGTTACATTTTGTCCTTAGATCTTCTTTAATTCATCTAATTTGACGGTCAAAAATTAAAAAGATGTGTGAATAGCACATAAAAAAAAGTCTAAATCGATAATGATGGTGTAGTCGGATCGGATACTAGGCGGACCTTAGCGTTCCTCTGGTAAGCAGACCTTAGCATTCTGCTAATGATGGTGTAATCGTAGGCCATGCATTTTATTTTTTTATTTTTGTACTTTTCTTTTTATAAAAAATTCAAATAAAATATTAACATAATTTAATTTTTTTTTAAATAGAAAAGGAGGGAAGGGAAAAAAAATTAAGAGGTGAGAAAATTCTATACCCGGTTACCAGAGCCTTTTTAACTTTATATGAGGCTATTTAGCTATTTTAACTAAAGTTAGAAAAAAAAGCGGTTCTCCAAGAGACTCATTTGTCTTACTCTGTTTTGTTTTTGTGTACAGCTCTGTAAACATAAAAAAATACTAATTTGGGAGGGAGAGATGCCAAAGGATGAAAATGATGAGTTGTTTAGATAAGTTAAACGGGCTATTAAAAATATTTTCGGACAATATTTACTAGCTAAACTAACAAAATTTTATCTGTGTTTCAGTGATATTGTTAAGATTTCTAGAAGAATAATACTTGGATACTCAACATTCATTACCCTATATATTCATTTTCAAAACTGAATAAAAAATTAAATACATATTTTTTTAAAACAATAAAAACATGTGTTAAAATATCATTGGATCAAAATATAATCCTTCGTAAAATATCATTTGTACGTACCTAACTATCATCCTTCGTAAAATATCTATAAATCTTTAAATAATATCTTTGAATTATCATAGAAATACTAGGAATATATATTCAAATCGAGGGTTAATTACACTAACACTCCTTGAGATTTATCGAGTTTTCATAAAATCCCTTCACATTTGAGACATTACACAAATACCCCCTTATGTTTTAATTTCCTTTCATATAACCCTTGAGTCAAAATTTGACTTATAAATTTTCTAATTTACCCTGATTAATTACTGAAAACAAATAAAGAAAAGCTTTTTAATTATATAAAAAGGATTATAAAACATTAAACACTTAAAAAAGAAGAAGGAGACCATGTGGACAAAACAAATTAAGAAAAAAAAAATTCATTATTACTTTGAAAATAATATTTTATTAGAAAAAGAAGTTCATCTTCTTCTTTTCCTCCCAACCGATCGAACGACCACCTCTATCTCCATCTCCTCATTCTTTCTGCATTACCACCACCTTTAATTGATGCCTCTTCAAAATCAAGCCAGGGACACCACTACTTTGTTCATTGAATTAATCCAAGTTTGACTGTAACTTTTTTCACAAGGGAAGTTATAGATCCATATACAACTTTCTGGAAAGTTGCATTCCTTTCCAATTGAGATTTTGTACCGTAGGATTATTAACCCCCATCACATCCAAATCAATCATGATCTTATAGTCATAAACAAACCCAATGGGCAATTTTCTTATTTCCATTCAATTTAAGAAATTTAATATTTAAAATTTCCTTATTAATTAAATTTCCAACATGGAGGTGGTTGCAATGGGAAGAAGATGAGATTGTTGGCTAGGGTCGGGTGGAGATCGTTGCTCAAAGTTTGAATGGGTGGTGGTGATGGAGACAGAAGGAGGAGATGGAGACACAGGTGGTTGCTCTTTCGGATGGGAGGGAAAGAAGAACTTTTTTTTAAATAAAGTATTATTTTCAAAGTAATATTTAAATTTTGTTCTTAATTTGTTTTTCTCCACATGGTCTTCTTTTTTCTTTATAAGTATTTAATGTTTTATAATTTTTTTAATTATAAAGCTTTTTTTTATTAGTTTCAAGCAATTAATGAGGGTAAATTAGTAAATTTATATACAAAATTTTCACTCAATGAGTTGTATCAAAGGAAATTAAAACCTAGGGGGACGTTAGTGTAATATTACAAACGTAAGGGAGTTTTGTGAAAACTCGATAAATTTCAAGGAGTGTTAGTGTAACTAACCCTTCAAAGGGATATGTCAATTGGGTAATGCTAAAGAGACTAAATTTTTTAAACTAAATGACATAGAAGTTGATGATTGTATTGTTACTTAAGCATTGATTAACGTGTTTATTTTTTAATGATAACACATAATTTAGTTTCTAAATTTAATCTAAAAATTTAGTCTCTTTAGCATTACCCATATCAATTGAGATGTGGCTTGACTTTTTCACAAGTTGATCAATACTTCCCCTAACACAAGAATGTCTATGATATGCAATAAGAAGATATTATCACGGAAATGATTTATAATGGTCATTTTTTTTTAATTTTTTTTTTTTTTTTGTAGAGATGGATTAGGCAAGATTAGCTCTTCGTCAACAGTCGTGTGCAAGGCACCAACCATCTCCCGAAGGAGAAAGTACCATTGCAAGTTTGAAAATTTCTAAAAAAGATGGATTGAAAATTAGAATGTATTTAGATATTTCAAAATTTTTGAATTTCTGATCCGAATTTTTTCAAGTGTTTCTAACTTATTCTAATAAAAAAATTCCAAAAAATTCTAATTTTTCTTTTAAATTTTTACTAAAATTATTTTTCTTTTCCGAGGAATTAAGTACTTTGTAAATAACTATTATATTTTTATCATGTTCATTGTTAGTTTTTTACACATTTATATTAAAAATGATAAACATAGTAGTATACTACAAAATTAATTGAAAATTTCGAATAATATTTTGAAAACTTGTAAAATATATGAATTTGAAAAATACCAAGATTACTATAATTTTGAAAATTTTGATGAGATTGCTCTGATTCCAAATATTTCAAATTTAGAAATTGTGTTCCAATCCAATCCAATTAAAAATTTTTAGAATAAAAATTGAAAACCTTGTTTCCGATATGGTCATTCCGAAAATCTCCCTTACCTCCTCGTAGCCTTCTCACATCTCGCTACCTAAACATTCTCTCCACGTAGACCTTGTGTATGATTTCTTTGTGATTTGGGATAGTAAGAAGGAGATCTTGTAGTCTCAAAAGATCCTGCAATTACAAATTTTTACAGTGTCTCTTTTACAATGACATTCCTTTCCTTTTCTTTTACACACATTTTTTAACAGATTCTTTAGTGTTAGTGTACATATTGTGCAGAAAACATTTACATTGAAAGCAAAAAGAAATTGATTCTATATGGTTTGATTTTGTAGTCCATTTTCTTGGCCACCCCATTGTTTGGGATCACCTAGTTCTTCTCCGGTCCACTGCCGCATTCTTTCTGAGGCTTGTTCTACCTGCAATTTCATTTCAATTAAATGTTTTAATTTACCACTAAATATATATGGATTATATATTTATAACCTTATTATTTTATGAGATATTTAATTAAATTTGTTGGTAGAAAAAACATTGGAATACTTTTACCTCTTTGTTCCAGTTGGTATTATAAACAATATACAAGAGGATTAGTGTCTGCAATAATGTCCCGAATATCATACCAATCCAAATTCCCTACAAAAACAATGCTCCTTAGTTTCATCAAGAAAATAAAATTGTGTTTTATCATGTTAATTAATCACAATTTTTTTCGTTACATTATGTTAATCATTAGTTGAAAGGTTTGAACTAAAAATTACTTGAACTTGGTTAGTGATACCTAATGAGAAATGATAGTTTACCTCCACTCTCAAACTTGTACGGTAACCCAGAAGAAACCCTAGAGGTAGCCCAACAATATAATAACAAAACAAATTTATGTAAGCCACCAAAGCTTGCCAACCTCCTCCAACAGCAACACCTGTGAAAATTGTATTGTTATAACCTCAAGGGTTTCGATGATTTGATAATATCGTTGTCTTATATTAAACTATCTGATAAGAGAACATTTTACCAGATATAACCGGCTGAACGCTATTGAGGAGCATTGTAACACTGAGTAGGAAGGCTAAACGAGAGACGGCTTTTTGCATCTCCTTGCTTTCAGTAAAGATGATGGCAAAATGATCCTTGGCTGCCAAGATAACCACTGCAAAAATCATCCCAATGAGGAGAGACTCGAGGATGGTGATAATGACTGAGTATTTTGCAGCTCTAGGATGTGCTGATCCTAGCTCGTTGGAGACTCGAACGCTGCAAGGAAGTAAAATTAGAGGAGGTGTACTCCAAGGAGCTAATAAGAGAGTAATCATCGAACAATGACATTATATTGATCGCATAATATGACATTTGATGTATTATTTATAATTTGGCTACATACATATAAATAACTATCACATCATGTAGTCAGCTAATGGAGTACTTTTACCGGTTTATTACAAAAATAAGAACTGGCAGCAAAAATGAAAGTTCCTTACCTTATTGCTGCATTGATCCCAATGAACAACATGCCTTCCCATCCGTTCACATTCATGCTGAAACAGAAAATCAAACACAAATCAGAATAAATTGATTCGGGATCAGTACAAAACCTTATTTATATACAAATTATTATAGAGGGAGGAAAATTATAGTCACTTTTTACGGGGTAAGAACAAGGGGTTTCGTTACCAGATTGAAAGGGAGCCAACTGCAATAACAGGGTTGTCAAGGTGTCCAGTGAGAACGATTATGGTCATGAAATACCAAATCTCCAAGCAAAGCATGACAGCTGACGCAATGGAGAGTTTTGCAAAAGACCACAATTCCTTGAAGGCCAGCCATGACAACCCCTTCCAGCCGTTAGTACACCAACCGACTATATAAACCACCTGAGCCAATGCCATCCCCCAGGCTGAGATATTGTACGCAGCAGCTGCACCACTGGTTCCCCACCCGAAAACTTTGATGAAGAGAAAGAGGATTCCTACGTGTGCTATCAGAGTGATGAAACCAATCCATGCAAGAACTCCAACCTTGCTCTGTGCCTGCAAGAACTTCTGAGTTGGGAAGTTGATGGCAAGGGAAACCATTTGAGGGATGGTTTGGATGGAGAATTTTCCGGCAAGGTCTGCAATGTCATCCTCTTGCCCTAGGAGTTTTAGGACTGGCGCGGAATAGATGTAAAGGGGTAGTATAGCAATGCAGGCAGCGAAAAGGATTATCCACGAGCGCTGCATGTACACTCCTAGCATGTCTACTTGCCCAGCACCAAATGCCTGCCCACATAGTGTTTCAAGTGCACTTGCCATACCAAGCTGCAATTTCATACCACATTGATTGCTTAGTTCTAACCATTGAATTATAGTATGTATTTTTTTATTTGAGCAATATTCTAATGTATTCTAACTGACGGGGAGGAGAATTTGAACTTAGGGTGCATAAGGTGATACAATTCCTGCCCAACCAGGCGACGCTCAGGTCAGAAATCTAGTACATCTGATTCACTTGTAGTTGCAAATAAATACTTCCCATGAGAAACCCTAAAATTCTAAAAATCCAACTCCTTAAACCATGAGACACATTCAGAATACTGAACTTTGTCGTGCAAGTATGCAAAACTGTGTGCATAGTTACACTACTAAATCATCGCGAATGATTGTGAATGCACAACAAAAGAACGTTGAGTATGAAAAATCCTCGTGTAATTGTAATGCAAGGAGAAGAAACTAACCAGGAAGCCGAACGAAAAATTGGAAATGACGGAGAGAGAAATTGCAACAGCAGAGAGCTCCACATTTCCTATATGCCCAACAAAGATGTTTGTGAAGGAGTTGACACCATAGTTGCACAATATGTTAAAGGCAATAGGCCCTGCAATTGACCAAAGCTTTGTACTCTCCACAAAACAGATGCTCTTGGCATCCTGGAAGCTCCGAATTACCGGATAATCTCCGTCACTGGACCCGATGAACGCAGGAGGAGCATGGTGGAGGTCTGCAGGTTCAAAGGTTGAGACTGCATCATCCTCTCCATCAATCATCAATTTTGGAATTTGTAGCATCGCTGAAGAAGATCCAGCAGAGACCTCCGCCTTAGCTGGTACATTTTCTTCCGGGGTACCTATTTTCGCAGACTGTTGAATCAACCCTTCGAATTTATTTTTTTCCGCTTCACCTTCGGAAGCTTGGGATTGAAGAAAACTCAGGAGATTCTGATCTCTGTGTTTCTTCTTGTTTTATGTAATTTTTAATTATTATTTTTTTATTTTTATGGGGAAGTAATCTTAAGAATGCTGCTAATATAGCTAGAATTGAGGAAGACCATACAAAGATATCAGCTGACAGAAAAAGATGACCGAGTCTTAGTTTGTAGTTCAGTTTTCAGTTATTATTTCCTAGCAGAATTTTAGTTGCAATTGCCTTGAACCGTTTGGGTACAAGAAGTCTAAGTCACCTACCATATAAACATGGTACCAATATACATAATATTAAATCAAGAACAAAGATACTAAAAGCATAAAACATCACGAGCGCTCAAGCGCTAACAATTCGTCTATGCTCTGTCTACAAATAATTTTATGACGCAACCCGTTTAGCTTTTAGGTTATCATATTTATATATCATTCTTTTAAGAAATCACTTAAATTGGAAATCATTTGACTATTTGATTATTAATGTGAACATTTTATTGTTTATCGTAACACTGTGTTCGTCTCACCGTTAGATTGTAAACGAATTCTGAATTAAGCGAATGTTCGTGGAGTTGATCTTTCAATAAAACCTAAAAACTGCTCCGTTTAATTTAAGATAAATATTGTGGGATGTACCATATCAGTTTTGAAAATTCCAGAACGTTTGTCGTAGCAATCTAGTTAGCAAGATCTTTCTCTTGTTTTTCTGTTTTTAATTCTTTTTCGAGAAAATATCTGTTCCCTATATGGTTATAAGAGGACAAAAATTAGTAAAAATTGTTGGATAAATATCAACAATCAATTATAAATTTATATATGCTAATAAATAATAAATGCGAATAAATAATTTAACAGAGTCTAAACAAAACGAAATTATATTAAACAGACAAACTCAAAATCGAGGCTTGCATACCGCGATGTCCTTGAAACAGAAATTTCGTCACTACTCTATGCTTGTAGTTCTAGGAACGTTTGCTTCACTAGGATTCAACGATCAAAGTCAAGATTCCAGCACCGGAAAACTAAAATTTTGGCGAATTTCTTTGTGGTTCTCTCAGTAAGAAGGTTTGGGATTGTAGAAGATGAATTTAATTTTTCTGTGTACTAAATGCCATGCAGATGCATGTACTGGTTCTTCAATAGATTGACCCACAATAATACCTACAGCTATATAATAGGTTTATGCCTGTTCGTAACAGTATGAGAATGAGATGTGTATGTTGGGAGACATCTTCTCAGAGGGGTGCTTTGCTCTCTAGCATTCTTTTATCACTTCATACTTCATCTAACAAGATGAGTCAGTTGATATAAAAAAAAAATAAATAAATAAATTCAAAATTAAAAAAATAATTAATTAAAGAATTTAATTATTAGAGCTCAGCCCCAAGGCCTATCTTTTGATAATTAATTATATATTAATTATCAATTAATTAGCACAATCCAAAGCCTAAAACCCAAGGTTTGAGCCCAATCTTACTCTCCAAGGTCCAACACTTCAATCACTTTCTAATAGGGACAAAACCTTATAAAATGAGGGAACCTTTTGGTGGTGACCAATGTGAGATAACGTAGAATAAAGATTTCTACTCAAAATTTCCAACAAAAATGGGCAAGATGAGCACAATAGGTTAATGTGGAGCCATAAATAATCAAGAAAAATATGGAGGTGACAAGTGGATTTTTGGGTGAAAAAGACAAGATTGCCCTCGAGGCACACCGAGATTTCTACGCACAAGCAGTGGGCAATTATCCATCAATCAAGTCAAAAGTGCCCAAAATAGGTAATTATTCAAAATCTATTTCATCCATCCTCGTCAAATCTTCTCCACAAGGTAACCCCCAAGTCATTCCTTTCTAATTATATTAATTAGCTAATTAATTAATTTATTACCTAATTTATTACCTAATTAATTTATTAATTAGCTAACAAATCATGAATCTTACCCAAAAAACCATCAAAGTGGCCGGTCATTCTCCTCCCAAAAGGGCCAGCCACACCCTTATATAAACCATCTCATTTTCTCGAAAACTCAAGTTCTACACTCTTGCTAAATTCTCTAACTATGTTTGGATGAGGAAAATAAACTTGGAATTTAGGTAAAAATCAGAATTTATAAATTGACATGCACCAATTCCCTTGTTTGGATTCATAAGCATAGAAATTTAGAATTTCCGCATGGAAAAAAACTTGGGATTTGGGACCTCCAATTCCCAAGTTTAAATTCCATGTAAATATGTGTCATTTCCCAATTTCTTTGATTTAGAGTTTAAAAATAACAAATTCCATCTTCAATTCCATTATTCTTTTAGGTTTACCAAACAAGAAAATTCACAAATTCTAGAAAATAAAATCTCGTCATTTCAATTTCTGTCATTTTAAAATTCCTTAGTAATCTTAAATTTCTTCATCCAAACATAGTGTAAATTCTCCAAACACTTTTCCTTCAAAATTTTAACTTTGGCATCGGAGGTTCTTCGGCCAAAGCCCCCCCATTCATCGTGGACGCGTGAGGCTCTTGGCCTTGACCTAAGGTGTTATTTGTTTTGTAGGTGCAATTTTGTCCAAGAAGAAGAAGGAAGAAATTTGCATCCACAAATTGATGCTTTCATTGAGAATTGAGTCACACACTCGTAGAAGAATTTCGCATCTAAGGTTTTTTGTTTCCTTGCTTATTTGTAGATTTTTCGTACGTTTTTATTCTTGGAATTTTTATTTCTAAAAATTCTTTGATAAAACGTAAAAGAAAAGTACAATGGCAAGAGATTCGGAAACATGACAAACGAAAATTCTAATGTTCAAGGATTAGGATTGCAACAATTTACAAGGCTCAATACAACGATGAGTGGAGTGGCACCACTGTGGCAAACACCACGGTGGCTACCCACTGCGCCACAATCACGACCCAAGTTGTTCCATTTAAGCCCACACGAGCCCAAGCCTAAGGCATGACGGCCCGAGCTACTTAAGCCCGACACGAACCCAACACGTTGCCAAGCCAAGCCCTAGCTTCCCACCCACGTGCACCACACGTTGAGCAACTCACTCCCATGGCCCAACCTTTTTTCGCGACCCAGCCTGCTTTCGTGGCCCAGCCTGTTCCCGTTGCCCAGCCTGCTCTCGTGACCCAGGCTGCTCTCGTGGCATTCCAAGCAGCCCAAATTGGTCCAAGATTAGTTCAACCGTCTTGGCTTCAAATTTCTAGGCCTACGATTGAACCAGGGGCATTTTCACCACATTTTTCCGTGGATTTGACATTTCCCAACTCAAATCTCGCGCCCGGAGTCTACCACACTTCCACTGCTCAAAGAGAGGCATTCTTTCCAAGCTTCTCCAACCCAAATGGAGAACAACACTTGTCTCAACAAGTCATAGAATTGACGAGCGCCTTTGCACAACATACGACCTTGGTGAATCAACTTTTGCAGCGCACCAAGATGCAATGTGCCCCAGATGAGGTGTCCCGAAGTAGGACAAGGGTAGACGAAGAACCTCTCTAGCAACGTCCTGGCAAACAGCCACTTGACCAGCTATGAACCGAGTGTTCGGGCAGTGTACACTCTTGATTGGGCCCCTGAGATATTGTATACTCCTGTCTTAGCGCGCGGAGGAGCGTGCACTATAGACTAGGCTATAGATTAGGGCCACAATTTGATAATCAACATGAGCAATCTTTCAGGCGAAGTGTTCATTTGTGGTTAGGCTCGCAAGGAGCATTCTCCACCTTACATTGGAGTAGGCAGCACGAAGGATGGAGAGAAGCAGTCACTTAGTCTGGCTCAAGCTCAACCAGCAGCCTGCGAAGAATTCCCTTGCCTGCTAGGAACAAACCATATGCACCACATCCGCGGCATAGACGAGCATAGCATGTAGAAGAGCAGTTTAGACCAGTAGGTCACGACCGAGGGCAGCCAAGAGCTTCGTTACCCCAACAAAGGCAAATTCAGGAAGAAGTAGAAAGGCCCCTGACCGAGTGATTGTGTGATTTCCAACGCAACAAGGTAACTAACAAGGCACTACGATGAGACATGAACAACATAAGTAGGTCACCCTTCACGGACGAGATAGAGCAAGCAGAGCCTCTATGCAAGTTCAATATGCCACATTTCACATCCTTCAAAGGGGATGGAGACCTAGAGAGACACCTAAAGCACTACCAAAGTGCAATGATCCTCTATCGAAACAACAACGATGTGCAAGATATTCACCACCACTTTATAAGGCGAGGCGCAAGATTGGTTCTACACCTTGCCGCCACAATCTATTCGGAGTTTCGACAATTTTCTTTGGTTTTTATCAAAGAATATTCATATTATCACTCGATCAAGAAAAAGTCCTACCACTTGTTCAACGTCAAGAAGAACCCAAAGGAGTCACTTTGCAACTATGTTTAGAGGTTCAAAGCAAAGAAGGCAAAGATAGTCGGATGTAACAACTCGATAGCTAAAACAGCTTTCCAAAAAGGACTCCCAATAGACCACTCGCTGTTCGGAGAATTGATCATGAAAGAAGGTCTAACTCTGGCAGACTTTTTCGCTCTGGCAGAGAAACATGCACTTTGGGACGAAGTTCGTTGATGCACATTCAAGGCAAATCCGAGCAATCTTGAATATGAAGTCCCCCACTACTTTAAAGGAGATTCAAGGTCTGACTGGACGAGCAGCTGCATTTGAAGCAGTAATAAGCTCAACCTTCACACGAGAAGAGCTGGAGGCCCAACTACCTGTATTACATAGTTCAAAAGCTCTCATCGATGTGGAAACCAGCTACTAGAAATTCAAAAGCTAACTTTGGCGATAATTGTTGCAACCCAAAAGCTCAAGTTATACCTTTAGACGCACGCAGTCATCCTTATGACGCACTATTCCACCCA